GGCGCTGAGCCCCCGCCGGGAATTCCTGGCCTTGTTTTACGCGTGGAAAAAAATCGAAAGCAACTGCACCACTGGCCTGAGCGTCAAGATCACCTGGAAACATTGACGGGCACCATCTTTCAGGCCCGCTCAATTCTTCATATGCCGTCGGCAAAAATGGGGGGAGACGGGCAACAACAGGATCGGAAATGGGGCAGAGAGCATAATATAGAATATTGTCTCCGCCGAAATCCACACATCCGACAAGGGAGATCGCGGGGCCTTGGTAGTACCTACGCGCTGCGCACACCGCATGACAAATTGACTTGACAAGACTAGACATCACTAGAGCTGGCATCCTCTGCCCGAATCGACTCAGTTTAGTGAGCAGCTGGGTTCTCACCCCAGGCCTCCGCACATTAGGCCCGAGGAAATGCTGGAGCCTCGGAATCAGAGCTCCACGCGCATCTCGAGGAGGAAGCGCACCCTGGATGGCTGTCAAAACGGCGGCCTGGAAGTTGCGCATCCCGGGGCCCTCGGGCCCCCTCGGGATCTGGCCCGACAACTGAACAACTTTACCGAGCTGGGCAAACGGGGACTGCTGGAACAAGGAGGAGAAGGAGTGGGCAACAACGTACTCGTCTGAGTCGATCATCTGGTTATACCACTGAATCAACTTCGCGCACATCTTATTTGTTCGCGCGGCACGACACCTCGCCGCCGCGCACGGACGCCGCATCTGCGGCAAGTGCAACTTGACCCCGAAGCTCCCCAGATCAAAGAATACTGCTCTCGGCACTGCGCGCCGCGGGCCGTTGACGAGCAGCTGGAGGCACTCGCCCTCCAGACGGAACATGGCGCGCGGCGGCTCAGAAAACCGGGCGACGAACTGCGCGGCCGGGATGGCATGGGCTTTGCAGCTGAGGATTGCTTCGACGAGGCCGAGACCGAGCCCGCGAATCCCCCCCATCCTCCTCGCGCGCTCAATCATCGGACCCCTCCAACTCACCTTGTCCGCATCGCGTCCGACATACACGCCGAGATACTTCCCGTTCGTACGAATACATACGCTTCCAAGACCCATCCCCATCTCGTCGATGCGATCTCAAATATATGACTCGGGATAATCTTCCACGAAACCGATTACAGCCTCCTCGCGGTTGAGATAGTCATGATGACCAGCACCGCGGGGGCGCGCACTGGTCCATGATGACCAGCGCAACGGGGACGCGCACTGTCATTGTCATTACGACCTGCGGCCAACGCGCACTGGTTCATGATGACCAGCAAAACGGGGACAGTCGTCAACAAGTCCCGCGAGCCGCGCATTACATCGCCCGCGAAGCCGCACAAACGCGAGACCGGCGGAGGCATGGCACAGTAAAGGGCACGAACTACAGGATCTAAGGAGAGCGCAACGATCGAATCTGAGGAAGGACATCCTTGTCTAATCCCAGAGGCAATCTCGAAACCAGGGAAACGCGCCCCCCAAAACAAAAAAGTAGCACGAATGCCCGAGTACAGGAACCGCCAAACCCGAATAATACATTCAGGGGTCCCCATCGTCTCCGGGGCCCACAAGATCCACCCATGGCTGAGGGAAGGGAAAGCAGCCCGAATATCCAGGAGAATACTCCCAGCGTCGCGCTCCCCCGAGACGCAATACCAGACCGGCAGCTTCGAAAAGGTTTCTAAAACATTGTCGTTCAGAAAGCGACGCAGCACGACAGCCCGGTTCAGCACGCGGTAGAGACGCCTGGTTTGCCGGTCCACAATTGATCCACCCACTATGTATCTTATCACCCGTGTTCCACATGCATATCGGGCGAGTCTCTGGCGGGCTGGCAATCAGCTCGTCGACGGCCTCCGGGACCTCCCCCTCGGGGTGGAAAACCGCGATGCACTCGTTATACAATGCGTCGTCGCCCGCCTCGCCCGCGAGGAGCGCTCGGCAAGCTTGATAGAGCACACCTGCGCCCGGGCCCCCCACGGAGGAGCAACAGCTGAACGGGGCCCCGTCTGGGCCAGGAGCGGAGGCGCGAAACCTCTTTAGCCCCAGCTGGAACTGCTCAAACGTAACCCCCCGAAGCACACGCTCCGAAGCACTCTGAGTAAAGCGTTGGAAAAATAGCTGGCGATCTCTATCACTAGGTCGGCTAGAGCGAACCCTGCCCCAATGCTCGGCCAGCAGCGCTGCGCCGCCGCCAACAGCATCTGGAACAGAGCCGCGTGGAGCTTCCACTCCTGCCGGCACCGCGCGTCTGCTGCGCGTTCCCCATGCCTGAGTGCATCTACGAAGCTGCTGAGCCTGTTTGCTTTTCGCGTTCCTGAGAAAGCTGCGGCGTCGAAAAAACAACTCCTTGGCCTCCCCCCCATCCAGTGGCTCCTTCGACATACTACTCCTCTTCGCCATAAAACCTCTGCAATCCACCCATATTCCACCTATGCCAACCACAAAATCGGCCAGATCAGGCACGGCTCTGACAGCTCTCTTCACAATGCGCATGTTGCCCTGGGCCATCGCGCGCAGGACAGCGAAATAACGCGACATCAGCCCCTGCGTAGTGGAGGGGCCGTCGACCGACGACCCTTTCTGAACGCGACGACCCGCTTCGCGAAATACTTCCCATCGCTCACGGAGCCGAGAAAAGGCGTCCTGGAATATCGGCACGTCGGACCACAAGTCCTGGACGAACTCCGAAAACTGCAGCTTCTTAACGACCCGCGAAAAAATCCTCGGGAACGACGATCTCCGACCAGGATTCAACTGAGCGCAGCGCGGGGCGCGGTCACTCGGCCTGGTGAGATCGGTCACAGGCCACACCAGTCCTGCCACCATTCAAATCTAACGAGTGACCTGAGATCAAAGATACGCATATGCGATCTAGACGACTCGCAGACAACAGCTGCCCACCCTGCCTCACTCGAAAAGTCGGGTCGAGCTGCGCCAGCTCGCACATAAACTGACAAGCACGAGGGGGGGGGTTCCCCGCCGCATCGGTTTTACTCGACGCGGGCTCAGCTCGAAGAAAAAATCGGGAGCCCCCAGGATCCCAACAATTGAAGTCACCCACAATCCAAGTAGCGTGCGCAGTGACAAAATTTACCCGAGAGGCTACCCGTCGACTCAACCCATTTCTGAAATAGCGAAAAGCTCTGACTCATGTGGATATGACATATCGCCATGCACAAATATCCCCCCGAAGATGCATGTTACGGCATCGCCCCTGGGCGACTACCTCATGCTTCATGCGCAGGAAGAGCTCAGAAAAAGAAAGAGAGAGAAAGAAAAGACAGAAAAAGGAAGAAGGGGGGCGAATCAGTATAACTGAGCCCCCGGCAGCTCGGTCGGGAAGGAACGCGCCCCAACATCGGAACGACTGGATATCGGCGAGCAACAGGATGAGGCCCTCACGATATCCGCGACACTCTTGCGGCACAACTACGTCAGCGCTCTCGCGCGAACAGATGGCCGCAGCCCTCGCGCGAGCCTGCGCCCGAACATCAGAGCGGAGAGAACCGAAGAGCGCGCGCTCCTGGCCACGATGCGGAAACATCTTCGCAGTGCTTAAAAGGAGGAAGAACAATACGTACGTCTTCGTGCACTTCCACCGGCCCCATCCCCCGAAGAACTATCGCTTCCCGAAGAACCCCTGGAGCTCGAAAAAGAAAAGGAATGCGAAGAGGAGGAAGAAGGGGACGCCCGTCGCAGCTCCTGATCGCCATGCTGCTCGGCCAGGTCGCGAATTCCTGCGGGGCCTGGATTAAACGCATTCTCTGGTGGCGGAAACTCCCACTGGTTGAGAAGCCTCAGCAGCCCGTCGACGCCAGCCCGCTGGACGTCGAAGCCCCCCCGGTCGTCTGTCGCCGCGCAGGTCATCCTCATCTGCGGGCCGAGCGCGCCGCGGAAGAGGATCCAGATGTCGCCGTTCTTAATGAAATAGAACTCGCCCCTGAAACCGTCGGCCCCCGCCCTGACAGACTGGTCCCAGACACCCTTCTGCGCCATCATCTCCTTCGTGAGAATTCGTATCCTGCCGAGCTGCCTCTGCCTAACCCGACCATCGCAAGAAAGGTCAGCACGCACTCATACATCATGCACTGCGTTGTTGCGCACGTCTTTCCAAGTCATCGGATTCTCCGTCATTTGATCATGAGGCTCTCGAGCCTGCGCTGGCGCGTCGAAGAGAACGCTGAAACTTTGACTAAACCGGGCGATATTAGCCGTCATCTTCTCGGACATGTGCTTGGCGCGTGCTCTTTGAGCCCCTCGGAATGCGCTGCGCGGGCTGTCAGCAGGGGCGGCTTCGGAAACCCACCCGCCCATCTCCTGCAATCATCAGGGGCATCTTCATGCGCCGGAGACCCCGTCGGCGCCGCACTTGCCGCCCTCGAGAACTTTGCTGGACGAGGCGTGCTACCTACCGACCCAGCTGATGCAGCCGTCGTAGCCGCCTGCACCTCACTCTCCATCACGACCATATCAAGCTTGAGGAAATCTGCGAACGTGTTGAACTGCGCCTGCAAAAAAGTGTCGGACTGACTCTCGCCCTGCGGAAGTTGTGCCAATGCCGCTTCGATGCCTACAACTCGCGCCTCCAAGGACCTGATCTTCACGACCTCACTCATGACGCGCTCATATTTATCGGCGAGCGCCGCCATCTTCGCCCCCATCTTCCTGGAAGACTCCGCACTCGTCTCCATGGCTAGGGCGATCCTCTCCAGGTGCGAGTGGGACAACCTGCGCGGCCTCCTCGTCGACCCCGATCGGGGCGCAGCTGCTAGCGGCAGACGCACCTTTGCCAGAGCCTCTGCCTGACATGTCTGAACTCGGGACAAACTCTGGGTCACTGGGGGGTGCGAGGCCCAGTGGTTGCAAAGGTCTGTCCGTGGATCAAAGGCCCCCAGTTGGTCCACAGGGGAACCTGGAGCCTTGAGCCTTGAGCCAAAATGGACACGGAGGAGGAGGACGACGATCAGGAGGACGAGGAGGAATCCCCCCTGTCGCTGCCCAGTCGGACCACGCTGGTGGCTCGCCTGGGCCCCGCGGCCCGCCCGGGCGGTTCTGGATCCAGAAGAGGCGCCCGGTCCTCCTGGGCCCTGCGGCCTCGGCCTGCCCCGTGGGGTCGCTGCCGCTTCGGGCGCTGCCCAAGGCTGTGTCCCCACAGGTGGCGGCATCCGAGCCCTACCCTAGGTCGGGCATGTCCTCCCACAGGCGGATTTTGGACGAAAAATCAACAAATACTCAACAATACATATATACACATATATATATATATACACATACGCATTCAAAAATAGCCAAAGATAATCAAAACATCGTCCCCTGACTATGATATCACTTTTTGAACATTCCTCCTCTAGGGGGACATGCCCGATTTAGCCCTACCCCCGCCAACCATCGATACTCGCGCATCGATAGGAGGCGGGGGCGGGGTTCGGACTTCGACGTGTTCGACGGGTGCCGAGCCCCCATACCCCCGCCGCCCATCGGACGGCCTGAATCTTCGATCGACCGAGGGTAGCATTTGGATTCCGCCACCGACCCCAGGCACCCAGGCACCCGACGGTGGTGTCTCGTCGCGTTGGGCGCCTGGAAGCCCTCGGCGGGCCCCGGGGCCGTCACAGAACGGCTCGGGACGGAGAGCGGGCCCCGGGGGAAGCGGTCGGGGCTTCCGTGGGCCCGGCACTGCGAGCGAGGCATCGGATGATTGGGTCCACGGGCGGCTCCGGGATGGAGCGCGAAGAGCTGCGGGCGCCTCGGGCCAGGAGGGCACCCCTGGCAGCCCCCGAGCTGTAGAGGATGCCCACGCTGAAGAACGTGCGGGAGGAGTCCCTCTCGGAAGGCCCAGGAGGCGGCACGAGCAGGCCGCAGGCGGAGGCCCCGCGCGCGCACTGCTCGGGGGGGGTGCTGGACCCCGCCTCCGCCCTCGCCTGGCGGCGTGGAAGTGCGAGGCAGCGTCAGGGGGCGACCTGCTCCGAGGGGGAGACATCGCAGATGGGCCCCGGGTCGGCGATTGGTCCCCGGTAGCGACACCGCACGTTCCTGGCTCGGGGGGAGGAGGGGGAGGAGGAGGAGGGGGAGGAGGGGGAGGAGGAGGAGGAGGAAGAGGAGGAGGAGGAGGAGGAGGAGGAGGAGGAGGAGGAGGAGCCGATGCGCCCCTACCTGAGCCAGTAACCCCCTGACGCTGCCAAGGAGGGGCGCGAGGAGGGGGGTCCAACGCTGGCCAAAAAAGTCCGCGAGGGCCTCCGAGAGAGTATGCCTGTGCCGCTTTCTGGTTGCCAGCCTCTGGTACGCGTCGATCGCCTCCCAGACGCTCTGGCGGGGGTTCTCCTCGACGAAGAAGGAGCAGATGCGCTCAGTCTGAACGCGCGCCAGGAGCTTTTTGAAGACGCTCATCTGCATCTCTGGGTCGTCGCCCGCCTCCATTACGATTATCAGGGGCACCTGGCGAAAGAGCAGCTCCAGACAGCCAGAGTTCTCCAGAAGCCCACCATCCCCGAGGTACATGTACGGCGGCGGTTCCTTGTCCATCACCGGCGTGAGGACGCACACCATTTGCAACATCCTGACCAGCGGGGATGGCTGCAGAGTCCGCACCAGCCAAGAAGAGAGCGGCATGAAGAAGGTCGCGGCGAAACACATGCTTCCGAGGCATACCGCGACGATCATGCAGGTAAACCCCAAGTCGCAGAACCCCCTCGTCTGGGCAACGTCTGTGGTCGTCACAAGTATCAGAACCGTCGTAAACGCGATCGCAAAGGGCAATGCATCCTTCGTGCGGCTGCAGCGCGAGCCAGGACGCTGCGAGTGGACCCGAAGCCAATCCCCTTGGGAGAAATTGAAGATGGACATCCAGAAGCGCGACGTCCAAGAGTCAAAATTAGTCAGGGCTGCGGCGTCGACGGCGGCGGCAGAGCAGGCCATGGCTTGAGCGAGAGACAGCTCTGCTGGCGTCTTCACGTAGCGGGTCCTCGGGCCACCGATGAGGCGGGAGGAGATGCAAAACGTCCCGAAGGAGCTCTTCTGGTCATACTCGCTCCGGTGCAAAAGGAGCGTAGAACCTTGTGTGTTCGACCATGGACCCCGATTTACCCATCGGCCTGAGGCGGCGTTCGGCGGTTTTCTTCCAGAGAATGAGATGGGTGCGCTTTAATCGGGAGGCATGGATCGAACACCCAGAGAACCAAACAGGAGGTTTGGGCATAGAGGTACCTCAGCGCACTCGGAGAGGAGCACATCCTTACCTCCGTGGTAATACGAATTCACCAGACAGCTGCGGTAGTATTTGTTGGACACGCGCCGGATATACCCAAGAAAGGGGAACAGGGCGATGGTGAGGACCATGAGAATACCAAAAAGTACCTCACCTGGATGACCTTCGTCGCAACCACCAATCCAGTTCTGCCCCCTTCCCCTCGCCTCCCTCCTCCCGCGAGCGAGGCGAGGGACCAGTGGAGAAGCCGAAGCCGAGGAACTGGATTGGTCGCAGCGAAGGTTCTTTGCTGCTCACCTGAGACATGCGTGAACGGCAATACACGGGCAACAAGTGTCTGTCCTTCCCCAGCAGCTGATGGGCTGGCCGTCAACGGGCCGAGGGTTCGCCACTGAACGATTGACCCAATGAAATACACTGCCACGGCTGGCCCAAATACGATCCGCCACCGTGCCCTTGAGGCACGAGTTGGAGTGTCCGCAAGTCCCTCGTTCGATCCCCTGGAGCCCCCATCTTGAATACTCCAGATTTCGTAATAAAAGGGAGGGGGTCTGGACCCTCCAAGACAAGCCATTTCAGACCTCCCCCGTGGGAGAACCCTCCAAAACATCGTCCCCAGACCCCCCCAGGCCCTCCAAGATAGCCTGGAAGAGACCCCCCCCCGAAATGAGACCCCCTCCCTTTTATTACGAAATCTGGAGTACCGGGGAGTCTTTCGGGGGCCCGGCCCGGACCCCAAAAACTCTCAGACCGTTCGGGGCTCCCCGCGAGGCCCTCGGGGCGCAGCGCGTGGCCCCTGGGGCGCGTCGCGGCCTGTCGCACGACTCTTTCGGCCTCGCGGGGACCTCCCACAGAGGCCCCGAGGGCCCCAGGAGGCTCCCAAGGCGGTCTTAGAGGGCCCCGAATCGCCGAACGATCGGTCGAAGACGCCCAAAACGGTCTCAAAAAAAGAGCCCAGGATGCCCCCCAAGACGCCGCAAGGGGCCTCCAACCAAGAAGGCCCAAGGAGGCAAAAATCATTGATCTCCCATAGGTTTTGAAGGATTTGGGCGTCTTCGCCTTTTCGGCTTCCAGACGGCCCAAGAGGGCACCAAGACCGCCCCGGAGGGCCCGAAGACGGAGGCCCCCAGGACGGCTCCAAGAGGGGCACCAAATGGGGGACCCGAACGGACATTTCGAGCCCTCGGCCCCGAGAGGCCGTCACGAGGCCCCAAGAAGCCACCACGAGGCCCTTTAGAGGCCCCAAGAGGCAAAGCAAAAATCCAAAAGAGGCACCAATACAGTCCACCAGAGGCCTCAAAACAGCCTCCAGGAAGATCCCGAGAGTCCTCCCACGAGATCCCAACGAACATCCAAAAGGCCTTTCATCCACAACCCAGGCACAGTTGCGGAGTGTGCCGAAGGCCATTCGATAAATAAGAACTTAATCACCATTGATACATGAAAAATAAAATCCGACGTCGCTCGAGGAGCGGTGAGGCCACATGAATAGTAGGTAGCCTGCCCCGACAAGAATCACTCAAACGCCTCTGGGCCTGCGCGGGAGAAGTCGCACGTTCTATGCAACTCATGCACCCCAGTACGCGACAACGAGGCCGAAAGTGGGAGGGGGTGGGGATCTGGCTTTGGGGCGGTACTTCGTCGATCTGATTGGCGGGTCCAGGGGGAGCATGCGAGGGGGTCGGGCTCCCTGCCGGTGCGTCGCGGGCGCTGCGTGCAGGGGCCGTGGAATGGTAGTGCATGATTACACAAGCGCTGTGAAAGACTATGTCTTCCCACAATCCTATGTATGAGATTCTGGTCGATAGCGAGACGCATCCGCCTCCGCCCTGCCACCTTCCCGCCTTCTCCTCACCAACACACCAGGGCACACACAGAACCACTCACACACAGACCACCCACACTCTTCTGCAGTCATAGTCAGCTTAGGCACCAGACTCACTCACGCTCATACTCGCACTCAGACTCACTCACACTCGGATGCTGATATTCAGACTCACTCTCACTCAGATCCACTGATACTCAGACTTGCCCGTACTCAGGTTCCCTTTCACATAGACCACTCCCACTCAAATCCACTCGTACCAAGCGGAAATCAGACACAGACTCTCTCTCTCTCTCTCACCCACACACACGCGCGCGCACACGCACACACACACACCAGTTATAACATGATCATCCACACACACACACACACACACGCTATGATCGCCGCAACATAGCAGACGTGGCACTTGGGCACCCCAAACGGGAGCCGCCAGGAGACGGAACAAATCGCCCGTGCACGCCCACATGGTGGAGATGCCTGAAGCGGCTTCCCCGTTTTTGCCCCCCAAGGACTCCCTCTTTCTAGAGCCACACCGTCACTGCAACACAGCAGGACGGGGAGGGGAAGGAGGGAAAGGAGGAGGAGGAGGAGGAGGAGGAGGAGGAGGGCGGGAGGAGGAGGAGGAGGAGGAGGAGGAGGGAGGAGGAGGAGGAGGAGAGGGAGAGGGGGAGGGGGATGGGGAGGAGGAGGGGGGAGGAGGAGGGGGAGGAGAGGAGGAGGAGGGGGAGGGGGACGAGAAGGCGTGGCAGCTGGGCATCCCAAGGGGGAGCGGCCATGGACAGGGGGACACCCGCCCGCTCTCGCCAAGATCTCGTGGCGATGTCTCAAGCGGTTTGCCCGTTTTTGCCCTCCTGACTCCTCCTCCTCCTCCTCCTCCTCCTCCTCATCCTCTCTTCATCCTCCTCCTCCTCCTCCACCTCCTCCTCCTCCTCCTCCTCCCCCTCCTCCTCCTCCTCATCCCCTATGAAAGCCCCAAGAGAACCGCGATACAGCAGGCGTGGCAGTTGGGCACCCCAACTGGGAGCCGCCAGGGGCGCCTCATGGGCCCATTCGCGCCCGCTATTGGGGGGATGCCTTGAGGGGTTCACCTGGTCCGGCGCCTCGGACTCCTCTCTTTTTGAAAGCCCCATGATCACCGTGCCAGATCGCGCACAGATCGTGGCGTCGTCGTCGTCGTTTTCGTCGTCGTCGTTTTCGTCGTCATCGTCGCAGTCCCCCTTCAGATTTGGCGGCACCGGCCGTAAGGCCTTCGCAACATGACGAGTCACCCAAGAGGTCCCCAGAGGCTTCCAAAATACTCCAAGATGCCCCCAAGAGGCTTCGACTCCAAGAAGCCTCCTCGTCTACACGACCCAGGCGCGGTGGCGGGATGGGCCGAAAGACACTAGATCCGCCGCCCCCTGCTTGCAGGGGTGCACGGCGTGCTGGACGATTCAGGTTTTGGTTTTGGTTCTTTTTCTAAAAGAACTCCCCAGTGGGCTTCGGCCCGTCCCGCCGGCCACCCGTAAGTTTCACAAAATCCATCTGTCAATGCCCAAAAACGGCCGTTTCGCTCGGGACATCCTCAACAAATCGCGAAGATGGCCCAAGATGGCCTCCAAGTCCGCCCGAGATGGTCCAAGACGGCCTCCAAAACGGCCCAAGAGAGTCCAAGACGGCCCAAGACGGCCCAAGAGGCCCCCCAGAGGCCTCCCAGACGGCCCAAGAGGCCTCCAAGAGGTCCTCCAGGAGAGTCCGAAGAGGCCAAAATCATTGATTTTCCCTTGGTTTTTGAAGGATTTTGGCATTTGCGCCTTTTCGGCTCTCCGACGGCTCAAGACGGCCCAAGAAGCCCCCAAGATCGCCCAAGAGGCCCCCAAGAGAGCCCCATGATGGCCCAAGTGGCCTCCAAGATGGCCCCTAGAGGGCCCCAAGAGGGCCCAAGAGGCCTCCAACACGCCCAAGATGGCCTCCAAGACGCCCAAGATGGCCTCCAAGACGGCCCTGGAGCATTCCAAGCGGGCCCCAAGTCGGCCCATAGAGGCCCCCCAAACGGCTTCCGACGGCTTCAGACGTGCCAGGAACCCACCAAGATGGCCGAAGTTGGCTCGAAGCTGGCCCGAGACGGCCCAAAAAGCCCCAAAGATCGCCCAAAGCTTGCCCAAGAGGCCTCCAAGACGGCCAAGATGACCTTCAAGATGCCCACGTGTTCCCCGAAGGCTTTCCAAACCGATTCGGGGAACACGTGGTCCGATAGCTTGGCAGGTCTGGCCTCAACGTTCGGCCACATAGGCGCTTCCAAAAAGGCAGGGGGCGGCGGTGATTCGCCGTAGGCGTCTTCGATCCGCCGCCCCCTGCTTGCAGGGGTGCACGGCGTGCTGGACGATTCAGGTTTTGGTTTTGGTTCTTTTTCTAAAAGAACTCCCCAGTGGGCTTCGGCCCGTCCCGCCGGCCACCCGTAAGTTTCCGAAAATCCATCTGTCAATGCCTTTGTTGCCCCAACTTGGCCCAAGATGGCCTCCAAGACGGCCAAGATGGCCCAAGATGGCCTCCAAGATGCCTCCAAGACGGCCAAGATGGCCTCCAAGACGGGTACGATGGCTCCAAGATGCCTCCAAGACGGCCCAAGATGCCCTCCAAGACGGCCAAGATGGCCCCAAGATGCCTCCAAGATGGCCCAAGAGGCCTCCAAGACGTTCTCCAGGAGAGCCCGAAGAGGCCAAAATCATTGGTTTTCCTTAGGTTTTTGAAGGTTTTTTGTGTTTTCTTCTTTTCGGCCTTCCGACGGCCCAAGAGGCCCCCAAGATCGCCCAAGAGGCCTCCAAGAAGGCCCTATGACGGCCCAAGGGCCCCCCAAGACGGCCCCAAGAGCGCCCCAAGACGGCCCAAGAGGCCTCCAAGACGCCCAACATGGCCTCCAAGACGGCCCTGAAGCGCCCCAAGAGGGCCCCAAGACGGCCCAGAGAGGCCCCCAAGACGGCTCCAGACGGCGTCAGACGGACCAGGAACGCCCTAAGACGGCCAAAGAGACCCCCAGGAAGCCCCCAAAGGCCCCCAAGAGGCCCAAGGAGGCCCCCAAGATGCCTCCAAGAGGCCTCGAAGAGGCCCCCAAGAAGCCCCCAACAGACCCCAAGGGTGCCCCAAGAGACTCCTAACAACCCTCATCCTCCTACTCTATTTCTTCCTCTTCCTCTTCCTGTTCATAATCATTCTCTCCCATGTGTTCCCCGAAAGCTTTCCAAACCGACTCGGGGAACTCATGGTCCGATAGCTTGGCCAAGCTCTAATCCAACTTTCGGCCACATCGGCGTCTCCAAAAAGGCAGGGGGCGGCGGTGATTCGCCGTAGGCGTCTTCGATCCGCCGCCCCCTGTCGATTCATCGCAGGGGTGCCTGGCGTGCTGGACCCTCTCGGTGTTGGTTTTGCTTATTTTTCCAAAAGAACTCCCCCTGGGGCTTCGGCCCGTCCAGCCGGGGTCCCAGGATTTTTGTCCAAGGATCTCAATTCACTACGTGTCTGCCCAAGACGGCTCCAAGATGGCCTCCAAGATGGCCAAGATGGCCCAAGATGGCCTCCAAGATGGCCTCCAAGTCCGCCCAAGATGGTCCAAGACGGCCTCCAAGACGGCCCAAGAGAGTCCAAGACGGC